GTCATCCTCCTTCACAGACGGTTGACTGTCGGGTCTTGCCTCAAAGGGAAATATTTCTGATCGAGCACTGATCGCCGACAAGGGACTAGTTGCACCAGGCCAGGTGCAGAAGAATTTGTAGGATATCCAATCTTTTCTCTATCAATCTTTCAGGGCGGCTGGCTCCATTCTGTGTCTCCCATGTCCCCGGGTTCGTTTTTGAAGAATCACCCCTGCCAGTACGCGCTACGCCGCATTTTGCTATTGGAGTCGAGGATTTCTAGCCTACCGGCGAATCATTTATGAAAACGAGGATGTCTTCTGAGGGCGGTAGTCCTGCGTCCCCGGCTGTGGGATCTTCTGACGGAACCGCGTTTTCTCCATCCCCTTCGTTTTCCTCAGACAAAGAGAATCGAACATCGGCTAGGCGATTGGATAAAAGGAAACCCGGCCATCTAACATCTGAGTCGACACAGCACTCTCAAGCAATGGCGGACGCGTCAAATAAAAGGCGGAGGCTATCGGAAAAAGGAGGACCGGATCGCCAAAGCCAGGCGGCACCCCGACGACAGCCACGGCATATCCAGGATACCGATCTATATGACCCCGATCAGGATCCAGAGGAACGTAGGAAGATCAGAAAGGGATTTAGAGACCTCGTGACAAATCTAAATGGTGTGATGCGTCCGAAGTTTGCATGATTGTATGAATTTGTGTGGACTGGTTACTGATTATTTTCCGATAGATTCTCGCGCGGAATACCTCCAACCCGGTTCCGATGGTATACGTACCACGTTGGATAAAGCAAACGAGCTATACAAATCGGTGAAGCAAACCTCCGACGCAACGATAGATTCTCGACTTCTCGTATCGGCGGCAGATTTATCCTATAGACGCACTGCGAAGGCGGTTTTAGGCGATGGCGAGACTGGTATTGACGTGGACGAATTTGTTTCCAAATGTATTTCATTTATGCGCCAAGGGCCTAGAGGGGAGGGGTATTCCCTTTCAAGCACCCAGAGACGGCGCCGTCGCATTACGGGAAACGATCCTAATGAGGAAGACAGTGATGAAGAAGGGGATCCCCTTAATTGGGACTGGCTTGGCCGGAAAGCTTGTGTCCCCAATAACCTACGTCCGTCTCTTTCTGGATTTCTACTAGGTCCGCTCTCGGTACAGAAGCGTTTCCGGCAACAAAGTCAAAGAAGGGCTAGACAGGCGCGGTTGGATCCTTCTCAGAATGTCCAACCCCAGGATGTTAAAGAAATCGATACGGACAAACAGGAGGTCTCGAACTTGACTGCCATGTGCACTGATATTAGAGAGATTCTGGTAAAAACTCAGACGCACAGTGAGACCCTCGTTAACGAAGAGCTTTGCCGAATGGGCTCTGATGTGTCAGAGGATGTGGTCAAGGAGGTGATGAGTAAACATGCCATTTCAGACGATGGCGGTGTACCATTATTCCGGTTCTGCATAAATCCAAAGTCCTTCGGTCAGACGGTTGAGAACCTCTTCTATATCAGTTTTTTGGTGCGCGACGGCAGTGTGGGTATATCATTGGATAGCAACAAACTCCCTACTCTACGTAAGTCAAGCGTTCTTGCTGCAAGTTGCTGCCCAATCTCCCATTTTCTGAAAAGATCTACTGACCTTTCCCCTATCCAGTCCCGTCTCAACCCGCTGCACCATCAGAAGCGCAGGCTAAAAAAATGAGAAAACACCAAACAGTTTTCAGCCTTGACTTTGAGACATGGGAAAATCTAATTGAAGTATTTGATATTCGAGAGCCCTTGATTCCGCACCGAAATGACGAGGCAACGGAACGGGCAAATAAAGAAGTGGCCACTACACTACTGCCTAGCACGGCTAAGAGCGTGTAGTGCCAATTCGCGCCGCATCATTTATCTATCTCTGTTTTTATTGAAGTTATCGGGCCCTTTTTAATCTTTATTTTTATTTTTATTTTTCTGACCTTACTTTTGCACTTGATTCTCTTTATATACTTCCTGCTTTCCTTTTTATTAGTTTTTGGTGCCTTATATCTAGCCGTCTGCTTTTTATGCCCTTGTTTGCCTGTATGATAGATTTTTTGACCTGGCTCATATTATCGGTTTTTAATTTATCCACGATTTCATCCTTGTCGTAATTCTTTTTTTTTTATGACATGGCTGACAAATTTTCTGGTAGACCCAGATCCGATGCCTATCTCGTTTTCTATAGTTAGAGCAAGCCGTGTCGATGCGATTATACTCAAAGAGTCTAATTTCAGGAAGCATCTCTTATCAATTAATATCAGCACAGCGGATTCAATTAATTGACCCAGGGACAAAATGTATAACCAAGCTTGCTTGTAGAGTACAAGCAACTGTTTTGACTCAATTACGTCATTCGATCACCCGTGACGCACCGCAATTCAGAGACTCGATACTCCGAACTTGCGAGAACTTACCTCAATAGCCACTGGATGTCGAACTTAAATAACTATTTACTTCATGTTTTTCATCACGCTGGGCTGGGTTTCCCTAATATAGCTGTCCTCTATCCCCTTCGCTGTAGTGTCATTCAATCTATTACAATCTCCCCTATATTAATTCGTCCAGTAACCCATTTCTTAAATACGCGCTGCTTCCACGAGAACAACTCCCTCCCGAACCCAACTCCACTCTTCAGTAACGACAACATCATCGCTCCCGTGGTACATCACCCTAAAAACTTTCAGCAGGCCATCGAATACCGTCGGCCGATTGTCAAACAACTGGCATCAGAATTACTTTACTTCAACACGATGACTTCAAAGTTGATTCCTTCGAATTTAGAGGAGGTCATGGTAATACGGAAAGTCCAGAGCGACATAATCACCCTGAATGTTCCTTTTTACCGCTTTGGGCATGTAAGGATCGGTGGAAGGTGTACGATTGGTACGAATAACTTGGAAGAAGGCAAATAGATGCTGCGATAGTGCCCAACATATTTGCTAATAGAATAACCGCAGTCCGTCTACAGAATGGTCCTCTAGCTGTATTCTCCCCAATTGCCCTCACGCAAGGGGCCCGGGACGCGGTGAACTCCCTGGGCGGGAACGTCAAATACATCATTGCTCCAGATATGGAACATCACATATTCCTCACACCTTGGAAAGAAGCTTACCCGGACGCCCAGATCATCGCACCCGAAGGTCTGCAGGAGAAACGCGAGAAGAAACCGGAAACAAAGGGCATTGTATTCGACCACATCTTCACAGCAGTCAACAAGGGGGATTTCAAAGTGTCAGATGAATTTCATGCCGATCTCGACGTCGAATATGTCAATTCGCACCCCGGTCGCGAAATAGTCCTTCTACACAAGTCCTCCAAGACCCTCATTGAAGCAGATCTGATCTTCAATCTTCCCGCCACAGAGCAATTTTCGAAGTCTGGCGAGTCGGCCACAAAGGGTATACTCACAAAGATCATTAGTACTTTGCAATCAACAAAGCCACCTGCAAAGGGGCAAAAGCGGTTGATCTGGTATTTGTTATCAGCGAGGGAGCGCAAAGGTTTTGCACGGTCGGTAGCTACGATTGAGGGGTGGAATTTCGATCGGATAATCCCGTGCCATGGAGATATAATTGAAAATGGAGGCAAAGAGATTTTCAGAAATTTGTTTGAGTGGAATTTGGAGGCGGCGAAGAAGTAGATATATACGTAACAGTACAAAAAAGTTGGCACACGCACGCACACAAAACACACACGACCGCTCTGGCTTCTCCTATAGGTTCGCGCAAATTGGGAAAATTGAAATTGTTGTGGTGAAGAACCAATTGGTAATGAGCCTTTTATCAATTAAGCAACCATACTCAGCCCATAGCCTGTGTCGTGGCGTACACTGGTGGAAGGTTAGCAGCGGCGCCGAGATAATGGATATTGGCCCTCATTATAAATCATGTGATATATCTGACGTAATCGGTGCACCTCAATCAACTCAACATTCTAACGCTTTATATCAAGACAGCAGCTGTGGGATGAGATTGACCATCGAATGAGAGGGAGAAAGGCATCAACGGTTCCAGGGGCCGATAAGGCTAGCCTACCAGGATGGACACTTACACCTTCGCAACCTCCGCTCAAGTGGACCTACCAATCAGTCTGAAGATGTAAGTTCAGTTCGAGCTCAGAGCTATCTGTTGCTTATCTTTGGTCTTCAGTGAATAACGCTTTTTTCATCACTCACTTTAGATGTAACTTGGAAGGAAAACAAAAACCGATACCTTTCTCCGTCTTAATTAAAAATCCCGAACTTCGACACCTAGGGTCAAACCAGAGCCCGATATCCGACCTTTTCATTACTGTACAACTATGGGCTAGCTCTAAACCTCTAGGTGTTCCGATTCAGACGGCATATAAAGCATTTAAGACAGCCGTACATGGAATGAATGGCTTACATGCCAGTATCCATTAAAGATGCACCGAT